CCATGCAAATCTCCTCTGTATCATTTTGTGCCACTAAGAGGCGGACATGACTGAACAGGAGGGGGAACCCAGGGAAGACGAGGAGTTGGTGGGAGGATACGGCGAGGAGGGGGTTGATATACGCAGGCATATGTTGCATTTGTCCATGTCATGGTACGTGGAGGGAGGCCCCGTATGAAAACGACCTAAAAAAAAAAAAACACAAAAAAAACAGCGCATCCGCCAGCTGTGCGTTAAGACCCCCGCTGAACGTGCAAGATGAGAATGAATCATCTGCTACAACATGGGGAGATACGTCGCCATATTTTGAGTCGTTTGTCCCTGTGGTGAGCCTGCTGTGTGCGGGAGGGAAGGCGGACGTGGGAACGTGAGAGGATGAGAAAACGACTGAAGAGGAGGGAGAAGAGGAGATTTTTCAATAATGTGGACAATTCCCCGATTTATGTGTGTCAGTCTTAYGCAGCACTGATGCTAATCTTCTCTGCATCATTTCAATTCTATAGAAGCAGAAATGACATTATGCTAACATATCATGCTGACAAGCAGGCGAAGGAGGACGTGCTGAGAGGATGACGGAGAAGACGAGCAGGTAGATGACGGGGAGAGGGAAATGAAAGTCATGCGTCATTTTGGCTACGAGAGACATGGCGGCGTAGCAGGGGGAGGACAAGGACAAGATGATGGAGGGCAAGGGCAAGAAGGAACAGGAGATGGTGGAAGATGAAGGACAGGAAGAGGAGCAGGAGAGGGAAAAGGAGGTGATAGTGAGAGGGTGATGGAGAGGAGCAAGTGGAGGATGGGCAAGACGGCGTGCGAAGTGGAGGAGGTGGCAGAAGGTGGCGAAGGAAAAGAAGGTCGAGCAGGCGGACGAAAAGGAGCCGGCAGAGGACGACGGGTTGGCGGGAAAGAAAAGATCCTGGGGGAACCAGGAAGAAGAGGTGTGAGATGAGGGAACTGGAGACCAGGCATCTGAAGGATACATGCCACCCCTCGTCCTCCGTCCTCCCCTGACTCTCCTCCCCGCCTCCATGGGCCGCGGCCTCGCCGCGGCCGGGTCCACTTGTTTTTCTAAAAACAGAGCCTTACGGTTCTAGCTCCTCTGGGGAACATCAGTCCGGTTCCTATTCCTCCGGCAAGTCAATAGATACTCACGCACACTCTTCCCCATTACGGTTAAGAGGCCCGAGTGGACGGTATTGATTACTTCCCGAGGGAAGGATGTACCACCCCTCACCCCTGCCTAAGTTAGCCTGCATGACTTACTTTTGAAGGTCACTATTCTGACTTCCTCTACATCTGTTTGCTATTTGTAATATACGTGTGAGAGCCCTGTCTAGCTTGTTCCTCCCAACTACATGGCTATCAGATATGCACTAGGAGCTGAAGCTGCTAGCTTGGCTACTTTCTGTCGATCTTGGTAAAACCCTGGGTCATAGCGGCCCTAGTTTTGAAATTATTTGGAGTTGGAAGTCCTACAATATCTCTGAACCTCTTTGTGCCGCTTCCTGAAATCTTCTTCTTGCTACTTCTTGAATTCTATTCTGATTCCTAGGTCTGACCTACTCGACATCTTTTTTTTTTTTTCTTTTTTTTTTTTTAATTTGGACCATTTCTCGATTTATGCGTGTCATCCTTGCAAAGGGGCCATGCTAATCTTCTCTGTATCGTTCCAATTTTAACGGATGTCCCAAAGGACACTCAACATCTTTCTTTACTTTGAAGCTGTTGAGCTTATGTCTGTAATGCTAATTGATTTTCTTACTCATACCTGCTCCTCTCGGTTGTTGGGCCGTCGGACCTGCTTGGAAAACACAGTCACAGGTTAGTACCAGGTCCGCTGGCCATTTCAGCACACAGACCATCATCAGCAGGTCACACGTACCACATAGGAACAATATGTAGATGTGCGCACGCAAGCTCTACAGTCAATGGAGAACAATCCAGCTGAAATCCCCCCCTCCCCTGTACATGGGCAGGCAGTGTCCCTTCCCTAAGTAGATCGGACAGATTCTACCATGGATGGTGAACGGCCTGGTCCAGAGGATGGTGGCTGTGCCATGCCATTGTGTCTCCACACAGCTACAATTTGGTTAGCATGCACAATGGATAATCTCTGCTCCGAAGACTATCAAGAGATGGTCACTGCCAGCTTCTGCTGTGAAACTGTGACCCATTATCCTGCACTCATCCCCCTCACCCCCTTATGACCTGCCCAGTATGCTGTTGTGGCCTTGACATGCCTTGCTTAATTAGCTGCGAACATCAGCCTGCTTTCCTGCTCGCATGTCAGCAACAATCCATGTGTTGTCAATGTTTTCAGGAAGCTCTGAAAGTACGTGTACTGCGTGGACCATCCCCGATGCCATAACCCACCACATCCTTTCCACGATGTCCCACATGCAATGCTGGGCATACACCTGCTGCAATCGCAGTCAAATATCCTTCATCCTTGCCAGATGGACGACAGACACAGCAGCCTGAGGAGGAAAATAGACTACCATATGAACCATCTACAGAGCACTGTACTGAAAGATTATCACCACCAGGGCGAGCTGTTGCAGACCAAATCCTGCAGCAGCTAAACACCCTTGCTTGGAACAATCCCCCTAGCCGTCTGCCCATAGAGAGGGAATAGATACTGGGGAAACCCAAGAAACCTGCTCATTGCCACTCTGTGATGACCCACCTGTGATCCGGCTAGCATGTGGTTCACATGCCTTGTGCCATGAGGATTATGAAGGGATATTCCATGTGAGTTTTTTTCTTCATATGTATGATGACAGTCAATACTGCTCTCATGTACGACACCCTGACATGTCATTTCCAATTTGTAAATAGGCTGGAACGGCAAGGCCTCTACAATTGCGGTCCGCATGCCTCTGTGTTCCTAGCATGTAGGAGCCACGTAGCCTGTGACCTATGTCTCTCCACCGTGCCATTAGATGCAGCAACTGCAACTGTGAGAATTTGATGTGGTGCTTCCACAGTCCACGCCCAAACCAGTCAACTCCGATCTGTAAGGGTGGCCAATTACGATAGGCAACGGCTGCTCCTCAACTCGGAATCTCCTGCAACCCAAACACTGACTGGCCTCTTGTGTCATCCTAGAATAGTCTGCTCCAGCGGTGAGTATTGAGAACCCTGAGAAGTTTGTCATTACTCTGTTCTGTTCTTTGGCCCTCCATTCCCGTCCTCTACTCCTCCTCCCTCCCCCGCCCCTTGCTTCTTATAGAATTATCTTCAACCCTGTTCCTCCCTCTCTCCCCTTGTGTACTACTACTAAATGCATATGAATGAGCATTCATTAAGAGAACAGACAAAATATAAGCTCAACATCTGAAGAAAAATGAACAGGACTATACCTCCCCCTTCACTTTGCCTCCTTTCATAGTGTGCAAAAGTGACGTCAACGCACACGGGGATGTGGGCAGCTGGCGCCAAATCACAATCAACATGCCCAGCCTTGTACATGAGAGGCACAGTAATTACACCGGCGACAGACTGAAAAGATGTCTCCCTTTGCCTCTTCTGACTTGTCGCCTGTCTGGATTCCTGTGGACATGTTGCCCAGTACATGTCTGGGTCAGACAACCTCGACAGATGTCCTTCCCGGGTGGCCTCACCACATAGAAAATACACAAGAAAGCAAAGGTGTTCCAGCCTTTTCAAGTAGATAGCATACCTTGATCCTCTCATTCTGAGCACTGTCAAGCATAGGTATCACCTCCTGTGCAGCCGCTAACTCCATAGCTAACTTCTTCTCATTAGCTTGACTCTTGGCTGTCAGTTTCCTTTCCTGCACATTCAATTCATTCAGGGGTTGCAGCGTGTCTTGAGTCAGGTGCCTATCACCAATACCAAGTCGTTCAGGGTCTGTGGCAAATCAAATCAACTAGGAAATGAGTGAGCCAAAGGAATTATGATAGGGTGTCCTGTAAGGGGTTCAATGCACCAGTGCATGGGAGAACCTCCCCCCCCCC